GAGTCAGGATACCAACACAGACGAGGAGGAGGGAGACATAACTCTTGTGGCAAGTATAAATTAAAATGTTTGCACACAGAAATTTGTTCCTAAAATGCAGCTTTATGTAATAATCTTTGTATAGTTTTATTAAAACGATATTGACGTTAATGGCGTGAGTATAATTGACTATCAATATTAACCTGCATTTTAAAGAAAGTGATCCAAAAAAAGGTGAAAACTGTCATTAATTCATAAATCATTGAACGTGACATTTTCAGTTTATGTCAATCTTATGTATACTGTCAGAAAATGTTTCATAAAAACAGATCTGTGTTAATGTGATAAATTAGGCATAGTGACCCTTAAATATCTTTATACCTTTTCTAAAATAAGTAATCATTTAAAACTACCAGTTATACATTTTTATCACTTTTTAAAACAGTGATTTTTAAAAATTTATAAAGTGACAGACTTGTACTGCCAGGTGTTCTGCAACAAAAGTGTGTAAGTAACACTAAATTTACTGCTGGCTGGTGAAATCTAAACTTTTTGCACATTTTAACTTGGAAAAAACCCACATTCTTTTTTTGAACCTCACTTTTTATTTTATTTTTTTTTTAATTCTACACATTCAATTTTAGTCTTACCTCTCCTCAATCCCACAGTGATGAGTGTGTTAGGGGCAGTGAAGCGGTTCAGTGTGTTACCCTACAGGAGGGTGAGGCTTAAGCATTACAGGTGGCATTGCAGGTGACCAGGCCTTTTCGAAATCCTAGTTATTCTTGTGGGGGGAAAAAAAATCTGTTTTATTTTACCTTTCCTGGCCAGTAGGGCTGTGTGTAAGGTAAGCCCACACTCTAAACAATATAAGAAGTTATATCCTCTCCAGTTGCATTTGCATGAGATGGATCAGTCTGTGGTCTGTTGGCATCAGTCACAGAGGGTGTCAGTTCTGCAAGCATGGTATTAGTGGTGAGTTCAGATTTTGCATGCCTATCACACATTAAAGGAGATTAACTTGCTAAATGACAATCTTCTGCCTCTGATAATTGTTTATAGTCTATTGATCTATCAGTTGCATTATATTTCATTAGAAAAGTGCATTTATTTAGCTTTTTTTAATGCACAAAGTTGACTTTTCTTTATCCTGTGGGTCAAGGTTGTCTTGTAAAAACAGTCCTGTGTAATTATTAAACTAGAAAACAGACCCACATCTACCCATACCCGAAGCTGGAATACTTATTTTATAGTAACTATGTAAAGTAAAAGAAATGGGTACACAGCTTTCTGGATTGGATTTCCAATTTGTTTTGCAGTAATAATTCCACAATAATACTCAAAATTAACAAAGTTGCAAGGGGGGGTTGGGATTGTGAGAATGGGGGTGGACTTTTGTTAAAAAAAAAATCTTAAAACAATAAATTAAACTGAACTGTAATTTCATTGTGCTCTGTACAGTGACAAAGGTCTATCTAATCATATCGTATCTTAAACTGAAACAAAACTAAAAGTAACAAAACTATTAAAATTTGACTTTTATTCTGTACTTGATGATGTTCCGCTTGATTCTCCAGTTCTGAATTGAAAAAGTGAAACAATGACAGTGAAATGTTGGTCGTTCTATCTGCCACGGGAGCTTACTGCGGTTTGATATCATGGTTTACATCTTGCTAGTTGCTAATGCTAACAAAGCATCACAGGGGCTTATTGCCCCTTTTCCACTAGTGCCTYTTAGTGTAGTGTCTGTACAGTCAGTGTCGGAACGGGTCAGTTCAGGTGCTTTTCCATTGACGTTCTAGTCCGGTTCCAGTGGGTGTGTTTTGGGCGGTTGGTGGAGGTGGTTTATGGGTTTTTCGAAGAAGAGTTAATGCACAAAATGAGAGATGGAAACACATTTGCTGAATAAGTTCTGAAATAAAAAAAATTGCAAAAAATTTCAATTAAAATTAGATGGAAACACGACTGTTAACAATTGGAAAAAATGGCACCTCARATTGTTGTAAAGGCAGCTCAGACGAAACCAGTGACTCCACCACCTAGCCAATCAGTGACGAACAGTGTTCTGATGTCGCATTTTGGTGTCGACTGGGACCACTTGGAACCACAATGAAGTAGGTACTAAAAAGGGGCTGGTTCCAAGAATCTGGCCTAATGGAAGTGGCTTGGAACCGTAACGACACTACACTAAGTAGTACTGACACCATTAGCTTGCTGCAGATAAAGCACCCGGAGGCCTTTTTAAGTGGTTGCAGGGGACTTTAATCACGTGAAACTGACAGACACTCTGACAAGTTTTTACCAGCTTGTCACCTTACCCACGAGGGGAGATGACGCTCTGGACTGCGTGTTTTGCGGTGCATACAGAGCTCTTCCTCGCCCCCATCTTGGCCTCTCCGACCACATCTCCATTCTGCTGGCGCCAGCTTAACTGCTGATGAGACGGATTAGGCCAACCAAAAAAGTAGTCACTGTGTGGCCCAGGACTGTTTTCAGTGCAGATTGGCAGGTCTTCAGAGAGGCAGCTACAYATGAGAGAAAGGTGGACCTGGAGGAATACACCTCCTTCGTTTTCTGCTTCATCTCAGTGTGCTGATGATGTCACCACCACCAGAACAGTAACCTGTTATCCGAACCAGAAACCCTGGCTGAGTGCTGAGGTGAGAGCTCTGCTGAAAGCTAGGGACAGGACAGGTGAGGCATCTGCACTCCGAGGGCCAAAGCCACATACGCCCAGAAAATAAGTCACTTTCCACCAAAGACCCGCGGCACATGTGGAATGGCATTAAGTGCATCATGGACTACATTAGAGGTGCAAAATGCTCAAGGGACCCCTCATTGCCAAGTGCACTCAATAAGTTCTATGCCCACTTTGAGGACCCCAACACAACCACCTGGTGACACRCCCCTCTGTGTGACCACAGGAGACRTGAGGAAGACCCTTCAGGGAATCAACCCCYRTAAGGCCKCAGGCCCCRACAATATCTCAGGGTACCTACCGAAGGACTGTGCTCATCAGTGTCTGAGGTGTTGGCGGACATCTTCAACACTTCACTGTCACAGGCACCTGCTTACAGACCACCACTATTGTCCCCGCCCCCAAGTGCTCCACAGTGATGTGCCTGAATGACTACCAACCTATAGCCTTAACATCAGTGGTTATGTTGTGCTTTGAGAGGATAGTGATGACCCACAATCAAGGACTCCATTGGCATCTCATCAGTACGCCTACAAGAGGAACYGCTCCACTGCTGACRCCATCTCCTCGGTGGTCCATACTGYCCTCACCCACCTGGAGARCAGAAACTTACATCAGTCTGCTCTTTCTGGATTTCTCTTCAACCTTCAACATCATCAYCCCTCGGACCCTGGTACAGAAGCTCTCCTCTCTTGGACTAAGTCCCATACTGGGGAATTGGGTCCTGGACTTCCTGACCAACAGACCTCAGACTGTCAAGATCCACAACACCTCAGCTCAGAACATCACATACAGAACACCATGGACTTTGTGGTCAAGGTGAGGGATGTCATCATAGAGAGGGATGAAACAATTGTCCCTTTTGATGTTTCATCACTTTTAGGAATGTGCGATGACAAACAATTCATATCACGATATAATGTACATTATGATGGGTGGCGGTAACGATATATATCATGATATAAAACTTATAATAATTTTTTAGACCTTCAAATCTCCTTTTTTAAGGGGAATTTTAAGGTCTCCCTTAAAGTCTGTACTTTAAAGGAGATCTTAAAATGAGATTTTTAAGTTCTAAATTAAAAATCTAATTTTAAGGGAGACCTACCTGGTTAAATTAAAGTCTCTAAATATGTGTATATATATATATATATATATACACACACATGCATTTGTCCTTGAACCCTGTGAGGACCTTCCATTGACTTCCTTTCTTTTTTTGTTAGACTTTATATCCTATACATGACCATATACCCTAAAATTAACCTCACCGGTTAGAGGCTCAATTTAATTTTGGAGCTCAACTGGAAAGAAAACCATGGCTGTCAATTAAAACCATTTCTTTGCAGTAATTTTTTTTCTTAATTGGAACAAGTTTTCCTTGAAAGATGGTTCTTAGGACTTAGTGTCTAACTTGAGTTATTTTGTTATACTTTCCCAAAAAAAATGGTGCAGAGATTATAAAGGTTACATAAAACCTTAAAGTTTGTCATTTTTACACTTCAAACAGCACCACTCATTTATACTCATACAAATCTTGTAAATATGGTGAGCTGTTCCTTCTGTGAAGATTTGTTTAGATGAGGAACGTTAACTTGGACCGTTTCTTTGCTCTGCAGCTGCCTGGAGCGACTCGTCTCAAGTGAGCAGCCCGGACCGAGAGGGAACCTTTACCATTGTGGACTCTGGTCATGGAGATTCCTTGTCTGTTTCTACTGTGGAGGTTCCACTGACTCCACGCAGCCACAACCCTGCTGCCTTACTTCCCATGCACCTCTATCAGCTTCCCCAGCCTCTACGAGTGGCCTTTACGGCCTCTCGCACTGCCAACTTCGCTCCCGGCAACCTGGACCAGCCGATAGTGTTTGACCAGCTCCACAGCAACCTTGGCGAGATGTACGACGCMCACATTGGCCGCTTTACTTGTCCGGTCAACGGGACATATGTCTTTATCTTCCACATTTTGAAGCTTGCCGTTAGCATTCCTCTCTATGTTAACCTAATGTGCAACGAGGAGGTGATGGTGTCTGCATATGCCAACGATGGAGCCCCAGATCACGAGACCGCCAGCAATCATGCCATCCTGCCCCTGTTCCAGGGAGACCATGTGTGGCTCCGGCTGCATCGTGGTGCCATCTATGGCAGCACCTGGAAGTACAGCACCTTCTCAGGTTTCCTGCTTTACCAGGACTGATCTGCTGAATGTCCAGACAGTGGCATTTTTTGGTGGTGGGAATGGTGTGGTACACTTCAGACCAAACTAACACTAAAACGTTTGAGCAATGGAAGTGGTTCCTTGTGCTTAAATAAAAGATGAGCAGTGAAGTTTGAGCTTCCTGTGTCTTTCCTGTGCTTGAATAGGTTGGTATTTTTTTCTGCCCTTCATAAAACAACATACATGTAGGGAGGAAGAGGGTTATTTATCACACTTGGTGTTTCGGACTCTATAAAAATCAATAACTGATAAGCTGAGTAATTTGTTCAACTTTTTATGAGTAGAACTCAATGCAACAATGGAAATCTCTAATTACGGTGAATGTCTTTACCATAAATTTTTGTTCAACTGAGAAGAAAACTGAATGTATCTTTCTAAATGTTATTACAACAATGAAAATCAACAGCACAAATAAAAATAATTTGGGGAATAACTAGTTAAAGGAAGTAAAATACATTGACTTAATGGTGCAACAATGCAAGAATCAAGGATTACCTCATTTATGCACAACAAAAGTAATTTGGACAGGATTTTTTTCTACATGAGCAAAACGTCTGTCCAAAGTTTAACTATTTAATGAATAGTTTGTTGGGATTTTGAAATATTGTGGCCAGGTTATAAAAATATTTATAGAATTGCAGGTGAAAATTAAATATCAAGTTGCCTCAGCTTAAAATGTTTAATCAGACCCTAAAACACCTTGATAACACCAGGGTCAGGGTTATACTATATACAACCTTCTGTGCAGGCTTGGCTCAAAGCTGTAAAGTCAGTCTTGCAGCGAAAAAAAAAAAAGGTTTCATCTTCTGTAATAAACTATTTCTCTTTTCCTATTTGGGTTTAACAAATATTGCTGAGCAAAACTTAATCAAAAAGGTCTTCTGGACAGGTTCTAAGCGTTTCATCTCTCCTCCAAGAGACTTCTTCAGTCTGAGGAGTTTCAGGTGAACTCAGCCTTATAAGCACTGCCTCCACATGATGGACAGACAGGTTGGTCACATGCAAAAGAGGGCCATCGCCTAACAATAGATCATTAGTGTTGATTGTCTATTGTTCACAGAGGGTCATATGCTCCTGACTATCGTTTGGGGCCCTGATTCACACCTTTTGCTCACAGGGGGCTGAGTCAGACTTGCAATAACAGCATTGTAGGAGGACAACTGGACACGAAGTCCACCTCTGTTTAATGGTGGACGGTTTTTCTTCACAAAAATGGCTTCTTTTACTCCTCTCTCAAACCAACGTTCCTGTATCAAGGATAAGAAAATCATCCCTGAAAAAGTGACCGCCGGCCTGTAGATGAGTGGAAACTGCAGAGTCCTGACCTGATGATGTAGCTCGTCTGTGCTGGCCCATTCTTTTGAACACACACACCAAGTCATTGGTTCAGATATGTTRACGACACCTGGGTTAAAATTAAAGCACATGAAGTCCAACATTTCATTGATCACATCAACTCTGTGGATAAATGCATAAAATTCACATGAGGTAAAAAAAAAAAAWGGCAGGTTGGCGTTCCTAGATTGTGATGTCTCAGTGTCTGATGGAGGACAGTTGGAAACTGACGTGTATCTCAAGCCCACCCACACAGACCAGTATTTGCATTTTGACTCCCATCACCCACTGGAACACAAGTTAGGAGTCATCAGACCTCTGTACCACAGAGCAAACAGTGTCCCTACAAACAGAAGCCAGGGAGAAAGAGAAGACACACATAAGACAGGCCCTGGAGTAGTGTGGTTATCCTGAYTGGGCTTTCCTGAAAGCAGACGACAAACCCAAACAGGACTCCAGTCAACCACCAGAGCCCCGTTTCAGAAAGCAGGATAATTGAAAATCAGTATGTTCTGGGGTAACTGTGCATATCCTGGGTTTTCAGATTCAGAAAACCAGACAGCCGTTATCCTGAGTCAACTTACTCCATGAATCAACCCTGCTCTGTAGCAGGATCCTGAGCTGCACGAGGACAGTGTCAGACAGGGTGTGTCCTTTTCTAAAGGAGCCTGTAGATGTTGGGAGCGTTAATACTCTGCAGAAATCTACCTCAGGAGAGGTTGATAAGACCACGATTAGATGTCATTTCTACATGAAAACCAGTTTGTTTGTTTTAGATGTTTTTCAATCTTTTTCTTCAAGTTCAGCTTGTACCCAGCTGGCATTTTAACATTTAGTCACTGTTGAATCAACATCAGGTGGTTGTGTTGGATAACCGTTGAATTTTGATTTGATTTTTGCAAATCTGATCCATGTTGAAATAAGCAACGTCAGTTCTGTCATATTTCTCAACATAGGTGAATTTGCCAACATTAATTAATTAATACTGATTTTAGTATACATTTTTCAAATGTAAATGTTAGAATATTTGTACGAATCTTATATTGTTATCTGTCTTATTAACTTGTTTGTGCTCTCAGCTCTCATAATGTTTGCAGTTCGACCGAAACCAAGGCGTGCCGTGACATTTTCTATTGAAACACTGAGAAGGAGAAGTTGTTTTCCAAGCGCTGCAACTCATGGTCAGCACGACCATGAGTTGTCTTTATCTCTTGGGAAAAGAATGTGATGATTCAGTGAAAATATGTCAAACCTGTTTCAACCGATTTTTATCCCACCCTTGAGCGGTTGAAGCACTATGTAACCAGGGCATTCCTAAAACTGAATAAAAAGCCTGTGAGAGCCGGAACTGTTTCAGAGTGTAGAGAGAGATTGTTAACTGAAGCAGTCTCCGGACACTCTCCTTGCAAGTAAAACTTTATTGACTCTGTTGTGTCTTTCCTTGCAGTTCAGTTACATTAATGTTTGGTGTTTAAACCTGACAGTAACCTTTGTGGAAATTTTAAAAGTATATAGTGGATTTTAAATGTTAAAAATCCAGCCTTTTAACACAGTTTGACACAAATGTATTACTTTGATCACTGTTTTAGTTTCAGTATTGATGTGCTGAACTGTATAGCTGCACAGCAAACATCTTGACATTGGTACATTAATACGTTTGTGTCACGTTTGGTGGATTGTGCTTTAAGGTCAGAGCCAGGGTGCAGACAGAGAYGAGCAGTTGTAATCTAAAACAAAAGAATTAGTAACAAAACAAAGTACTGTCRTGGCAGCAAACATCAAAAAACCCAAAACCTCTTGCAGAGCAGAGCTACTGCTGACAGAAGACAAAATAATGCCAGATCATTGAACCATAGCACACACCTGGAATATAAAGTCAAWCTAATGAACTGAAACCACTGACACCTGTGCAGGATCAGGCGCAGGTGTGGCAGAAAAAAATGCTGAAACTGAACGGACTAACCAGAAATACACAAAACAGAACAAAATACTGAATAAATACTCAACTAAAGCACAAGACCGTTTGCAGATCAGCATCCTGAAACACGGTGCAAAACACCAGAAAGAAAATATTTGATTGTACAATCTTTGTTTTGCATCGGAACCAAGTTTACAGTTTTTCCAACTGATGTACTTAATCTTCTCATACAGTAAAAGCAACCTGATGTTGTTTCCATACTTAATTACAAAAGTGCGCTAAATTATATTCATTAAACTATTTTATAATTTTATACATTGATTAATAAAAAAATGTTTGCTGTGCAGCTTTATGGTTCAGCACATCAATACTGAAGTTAACAGTGATCAAAGTAATACATTTCTGTGGAAGCCCATTTCTGCCAACCTGATTAAAAAATAAATAAAACCTGTATCTCATAATTATGACTTAGCTATCTCATCTCATAATTATGAGATATTAGCTCTTAATTATAATTATGAGATAGTATCTCATAATTATGAGATAGCTAAGTCATAATTATGAG